TGAATGAACAACAGCACACGATAACCATGACATGCGTGTCGCATAAGACATGACTACATGATACGCCTATAGCGCACTCGTAGCAGTTTTTCTAGGTCCACATTAACTAAATTCGGTATCACGTGACATGAATAGACGCGAAGGTAATTGACACTTACAAACAAGATAATCATGATATGCGTCTTATGTAAAACATGATTGCATGCGGTGCTCTTTGCGTGCTCGTGGCCATTTTGCTAGCTTCACATATACGAAGTTTGGTACTTCGTGACGTCAATGAATGACAAAAAATAATGACATGTTCAAACACGATAATCACGATATGCATACCATGTAAAACATGACTACGCTACGCTCATAGCGCGCTCGTGGATCTTTCACTAGCTCTGCAGATACAAAGTTTGGTATCACGTGAAGCGAATTGACTACGAAGGTTATGACGAGTCCAATAATGATAATCATGACATGCGTGTCATGTATAACATGACTCATAGCTCGCTCGTGCTAGTGAGGGCCATAGCGAGGCTCATAGCGTGATCGTAGCCGTTTTACTAGCTATATTGATCACGTGACCTTGATGGACGACACAGGGTAAACGACACGTCCAAACATGATAAAAAACCACAGAAGTCATGCACGGCATTAGTGATGTCCACCTCGTGACGTTGTGCTGATTTTAAAGTGACATATCAACCTTCCTTATTCGTGCTTCGCATATGATTGATTCCCACTGTACGTGGGATAAGGCGAATTCTTAGCTCATCGACCGCCAGAGCGTCGAAGTTAACTTCTCCTAGATTGTTAATTGCACTCATATCGCTTTGAGACAGGGCGTCGGCATAGATGCTCTCGCTTTTTTTTTACGTGGCGGATGTCTGTCATGAACTCTCCGATGTATCTGAGCTGGCAAAGCTCTCGGCTCATGTGTGTTCCAACGTCCTAACGTATTGAGCGAAGAGCATAGGTCAAATACTTATGTTCGGTTAAAATGAAGAACTCGAAATCTTGCAAGAAATGCGGGAAGTTGCGTTTACTTGAGTAGACGGCTAGCAATTTGCGGCCGACGTAGCTGTAGAGGCAATCAGTAAGAGCTACTTTTCTCGAGAAGAGCGCAGTTAGTTTCCAAGTGCCATCACTCAGCTGTTGCAACACGACATCGACCGCTATATCTGAGGCATCCACCATTGAACACTGCTGAACTTTTGGCCGTGGGTATGCCAGGACGGCGGTATTTGCCAAGGCCTCGTTTCTTTGGGTGAAAGCCTTGTTGACAGCTTCGCGCCAAGGAAGTTCTTTTGAAGATCCTTGCGTTGCCTTCAGCAGTCCGTGAAGTGGTTGTATGATATAGGCACACTTATGCACAAATCAGTGGTAGAAGTTCAGCAATCCGAAAACTTTATGTAGTTGACGCTGTGTGGTTAGTAATGGAAAGTTTAGTATGACCTGCACTTCAGATGGGTGTGGCCGCACTCCTGAGTTCTCAATTATGAGGAGCAGAAATTATAACTCACGGCACAGCAAGTTCACATTTCGCCGCGTGGTTGATGACGCCGTGCTTAGATATGCGCCGAACGACAATCCACAGGTGCTCTGCATGTTCTCCTAGGCTGGTGCTCGCGATTAGCAAGTCGTCCGGGTAGCGTGGCGAAAATCGAGGCCTTGTACAACAATGTCCATAAACCATTATAATGTTTGGCCTGCGTTGCGAAAGTTGAATGGCATGCGCAGAAATTCGAATAAGCCATAAGTGATGTGATGGCCTTCTTCAGAAGGTCTTCTGGCGACACAAGTATGCCCGCATGAAATCGATTAAAAAACTGTGGGCACATGCAAGCCTGCCAGTATGTCATGGATAAATGGCACAGGGTACCTGTCGGGTGTTTTCACACTGTTAATAGCTCGATAGTCCCCACAAGGGCAGCAGTCACCCGTTGATTGCTTAGGAACCATGTGAAGGGGAGATGCCCAAGGACCCGCAGAAGGTTGGATAATCGCCAGCTACATCATGTGGTCAAGTCCTTGCCGTGCCAATGCTAGTTTTCTAGGTGACAGTCAACGTGGTCGAGCATCAGCTGTTGGTCCAGTAGTAGTGATGTGAAATACGTTGTGCTTTACTGGGTTCGCATTTGTTTCTGGTGTGTCAGCTCATAAAATTCACTCAGCATGGAGGTAGAACAAAAATGACACGCTGGCTTGATCAACGTAGGACTTAGTGGTGTATGTCTCGAAAGTATATCACTTGGTGGCACTGGTTCTTGAATTCTCCGGTTACGCATGTCGACTAAGAGTCCCAATTAGGGCAGAAAATCAGCCCTAAGAGTGGGAAGCCTTACGTCGGATACTATGAAGATCCATCGAAACGTTCTATGCAGCCCAAAAATAACGGTTGGAGAGTGGTCGCCGTACGTGTCAATGATCGTGTTGCCCCGCCGCGGTTATCTAGTGGCTAAGGTACTTGGCTGCTGACCCGCAGGTCGCGGGTTCAAATCCCGGCTGCGGCGGGTGCATTTCCGATGGAGGCGGAAATGTTGTAGGCCCGTGGGCTCAGATTTGGGTGCACGTTAAAGAACCCCAGGTGGTCGAAATTTCCGGAGCCCTCCACTGCAGCGTCTTTCATAATCATATGGTGGTTTTGGGACGTTAAACCCCACAAATCAATCAATCAATGATCGTGTTTCTGGCTGCTTGCTGAGGCGATGTGCTTGGGCGCTTACGGTCCGCGGGCTATGCAGGGAGTACACTCCCTTCGGCGCCTGCGTCGACGAGCAAACGGAAGCTGCCGCTTATGTCACTTGGGGAAAAAAACTGATGAGCAACATTATTGCATAGAATCAATGCTAGTTACCCTCAGTGCCTGCCCATAGTGTTTCGCGAGAGCCCGCAGGTGGGTACGCATTTGCACGCGAAGTTGCCAAAGTTGCGGTAGTACCAACATAGCTTTTGAAGTTTCATGGTTGACTTCCACGAACATGAACTGGTAGGCCATGACGCTGTGTGAAGGGCTGCCACAAATTCATCGAGAAGCAAAATTTCGCTCTTCATCTCGTGAAGCTCGTCATGTAGAAGACGGTTCACTCGTGACGCCCACGAAAGATGTAGCTACTGCCATGAGCTTGTCAGCTAACTCAGCGATTTTGCGTAGATCTTTCGCGTTTGAGGCCCTGAAGACCACTCTGATGTTGGGGAGAACTTTCTGTAGAAACATTTCTCGGAACAGCAGGCTGTCAAGACTATACGCTTTGTTGCCCGGTTATTGTTGCATATGACGCAGCAGCTGGCTTCGCGTTTTGTCACCAAGGTCTTCTTCATGAAGAAACTGTTGCAGCCGTCAGTTCCGGGGGGGGGGGGAGGGGGGGCGTGACCCTGCAAATGAGTGTTGCCTTCAACACCTCGTAGGCCTTGTCTGCAGGTAGGGAAAGCAACAGGTCGCAATTTTGGTAGCAGTTGATGGTAGCGGACTTCTCACCACGTAATGGCATTTTGTGGTATCTGCCATGATACGGCATGCAGCAATTAGTGACTCTACCTGAAATATAGTGCAGAATCTGCAGTCCAAAAAGGAGGCAGTTTGCGTCGACGCTGGAGAATACGGTTGCGTCGGTGCCTTTCAAGGGTGTCCATTGCCCTTGCTGCTCGTCCGGGTCACCATTGTTTTGCGGGATGCGAGCGCAGCTGGAAATCAGCACAGAGAAACACGTAGTGCCTTGCTTCAGGCCAAACAACAACAAACTTTATTTTAGCATGTATTAGACCACTATGGTTCGGTCGCGCAACCTAGCAGCACTTTCCTTTCCTGCGCGCAACGCGATAACATTTCCATAAAAAGATAAGAAAGGATATCTGGCTGTCGCTGTGCGACTATGAAGCGGCCACAGTGTGATATAAGTGAGATTGTTCCGCCAGACACACATGCTATATTCTGTGTCTTATGCTTGACGTATACGCAAGTATTTTGGCTCACTTTTAGATCTGCGCTTGAATTTCGATGCTACAAGCCGCTGTTGTAATAATCTTTAGTATAAAGTGGCAAACGTTATCTGCGCATATAACCCAAAATGTCTTATGATGCCAATATTCCTATAGTAAATAAAATTACACTTGATGGTGAAAAATTTGAGCGCTGAACCTGCCAGCTGGAAAATTTTGGCTGTGCTCTGGAGCCTTGGAACATATAGAAGCATACACATTTTGTAATGAAAAGTTTAATTTTTGAACAAGAATATTCATGTTTCGCACTTCACAAAAAAAGCGTATGCCTGACTCCCTTGGGTAGTCCTGACTTGACACGCATATGATTATTTTTAGACAGTTAAGTTAAATATAATGTGGAACATGCGATTCTTCGAAGAAAGTATAATGACTTCCAAAGAGTAAACAAGCCTCTATTCAGAGAGAGTCAAGTCTGGGAATTATTAAAAGAGTCGCACACACGTTGTTTCTTCTTTTGTTTTCCCGGAATGTGTAACAAGATGACGAAATCCCCGTTTTGGCTTTATGAACCAAAAGCCTATAAAATTATCTCAGAGCAACAGCCAATATTATTTCATTCGTGCACTTTCTAGGCTTGCAAGAGAACAAACCTAACAGTGCTGATTCCCTGGCGATTCGGTTCTTTTTATAGCTTCTAACATAACAAGAGACGACAAAGATGCGTGAGATCACTAATAAAGCCGAAATAGCGAGACTTGGCGTGAAATGCGGGACTGTCCTATTCCGTTGCCTTAACCAGAAAAGAAGTATGCTGTATTTTCCGTGTCCATGAAGGCTGAAAGAATGTATTCTGAGCTTTCATATTATCATTTTTTTTTGGCGAATAGTACTTTCCGATCCTTTTTGTTCAAGTTCATTTAATATGTATTTTGTTCCTTTTAAAAATATCCTTCTAAGTAAGCTGCTAGTTCTTGCCTCTTGTACTTTGCCTTTGTTGCGATGTTGCATACTTTACTGTAAGAGAATTACTGCAAATGTTCGTGATCTCGTGCCTTTCTTTTTTTTTTCAGACAAATTCCAAAGAGTTGAAAACGCCCTCTTTGTGGCAATTGGTCATTCTTGCGCTGTTTTCAAGGTCGAGTCACTGAGAGATTGTACGTGCTAATAATTCATTCTTACGATGAAAAACTGATGTCATTATTCGCAGTAAAATAATATTAATTGAGAAACAATACAAGCTCCACCTGAAGATATCACGGTCCCAGGCCGATAAAGTTAGCGTAGGCATCCGATCCAATGGCATTGGTTGAATTCCGTAACTCCTATCGCCTTTCGCGCGTTTCATATAGTCAATGCACTTATACAGACGTCACTCCTTTCTTCCTATGGTTTTCGAAAACTTCGATGCCTTAGGCAATATGTTCATATTAACCTATTAGCCGTATTTTAACGCTAATGTTGTGTTCTGCTTTACTGTACTTTCACATCTTAAGTGCTACAATTGTGAATTATGTGCCCCCACTGTTATTTTACGACATATTTTGTCTGCTAAGTGATAAGCAGTAGCCGGTGCCAGGGGTTTACCTAGTGGGTGGTTAACCGGCCCATGCCCGCCTCCCCGAAATTTCTTTTCGTCGTGGCATACAGATAAAAAACAGTCCGTTTGAAGAAAGTTCCCTCCAAGTAAGAAATAAGGTGACCCCCCCCCCAAAAAAAAAAATATACACTACTTCCCCGAAGAGGACCATGGGGTGATGCGGAGCATCGCGAGCGGTTTCGATGGTGTTTTTAGCAGTCGCGTTTACCGGTTCACGGCGTTAGATTTGCCATGAACTTCGCGTGTCATGAAGTTGTTAACCTGGTTCGTTACCCGTCATTGCGTGAACGTTGTGTTAGAAACTTTTGCGATGCCCCGCTTCGCCGCAAGGTTCTCTTTGGGAAGATGGTGTAATCTTTAGATGTGAAGCAGTGCTTTGACAAGCCTGTGTAATGCTGTCATGTGCGTCAGCACAAAGCCCCTCGCCACGGTTGTTGAAGCGGTACCAAGAAGGCCAAGTTGCTGCTGCGCGTTGACGTCACTCTCTCTCTCTCTCTCTCTCCGCAGAAGCTTCCGGCTACAGCAACTGCTCGAAAGACACTTCTTTATCGCTTCACTTTCTCCACCGCCCACAGCGCTCGACCACACGTCGAGTAGAATCAATGGACCGATTTAGTTGCGCGTACGCAGCAGCCGCTCGGATGCGGCTTGCATTGCGAATGGATTGCAGGCTGTATGCGTTTGGCTGTTGCGGGCGCGTGACGAAATCTGTCTGATCTTCTGGCTGGTTAGTCTGCTTCAAACTTACATGAAAACCAATGCTCCTCTCGTGTCTGGAACTCGCTCGCTGGAATCCGTGCCGACCTGTTGTGCCCTTGCGATCTCCGACGTCAGCGTAGCTCTGACCTACTGGACTTGCCCTACTCCATCTCCTGCGCCGACAAGAGCTCTCGCAAGTGGTGCCTCATCCTCGGACTCCTGTAACTGTGTTTCCATCTTTCCTATCTCTCCTATCCCCTCAATATGTCCTCGCTCCGTGGCTTAGCGCATCTCTTTTCTATCTCTCTACACCTTTATTCCTATCAATTTAATCTCTCCTCACTCCCATCTCGTGTGAGCTACTGTTGAGGTGTCGCACCTTGACAGCGCTCGACCACACGTCGAGTGGAATCAATGGATCGATTCAGTTGCGCGTACGCAGCAGCCGCTCGGATGCGGCTTGCATTGCGAATGGATTGCAGGCTGTATGCGTTTGGCTGCTGCGGGCGCGTGACGAAATCTGTCTGATCTTCTGGCAAGTTAGTCTGCGTTGAAACTTACATGAGAACCAATGTTCCTCTCGTGTCTGGAGCTCGCTCGCTGGAATCCGTGCCGACCTGTTGTGCCCTTGCGATCTCCGACGTCAGCGCAGCTCTGACCTACTGGACTTGCCCTACTCCATCTCCTGCGCCGACAAGAGCTCTCGCAAGTGGTGCCTCATCTTCGGACTCCTGTAACTGTGTTTCCATCTTTCCTATCTCTCCTATCCCCTCAATATGTCCTCGCTCTCTGGCTTAGCTTATCTCTTTTCTATCTCTCTACACCTTTATTCCTATCATTTTAATCCCTCCGCACTCCCATCTCGTGTGAGCTACTGTTGAGGTGTCGCACCTTGATGCAGATAGTTACGGGGCTCACTTATCTATTCTTTTCCTTCTTATAAACATAAACACTTTTCTCATGTCTTGCCTTTGCGTTTCAAACAAATGGTTACTCGTGTAAACGCTACACCGAGTTTTGCTTCAAACTTCTCTTTCAGCACCCACGTCTCGTTTCAACTAGTTCAACGTCGTGCGCACCACTGCTGCCTCACATCCCATCATGCGTTATATTTGATGTGATGGTCAATAATACTTTAGGTAATGCACTCGCTGCAAATCTTAATTGTTCAACAACGCATAGGAAAAATGTTCCACCGACAGACACTACCTTTAAGGTCAAGATCCAGCATCTATAGACCCTTTTGCTCAAGTGTCCTTGGGTGTCATCTTAGTACTTTTTGGGCTGTCATTAGTGTGCGTTACCCTCCTCTCCCCAAATGCACTGCCGAGGCTGTGACGTCTGATTTTGTTCTCTCTTGCAATAGCCGAGAAAGCTCCTCTCCGTAAAAAAAGGTCAATACATACCGAACGACCAGTGATTGGTTGTGGAACGTGAGCAGTCAGTTTTTTTTTTCAATAAAAAACTCGCTCACAGGCGCTCACTTTGTCGGCTTGGGAAGACACCACAGGGAGAAATGCCTAGAGGAGAGGAGTTAACTAACGTAGGGAAGCAGACACTGCCTGCGTCGGCGTTCCGAGGCAGATGTGCTAGAACCTAGGAGAAAAAAAGTGAACAGAGGGGACTCGCACGCGCAACGAAACAGCAAGCGCAACCAGATTGTAGGCCGGATACTTGCTCGTACGGACGTACGGGCGTCGTACAGACGCTTGCTCACTTTTCTCTTCCGAAAACCAACCCCAAACACACTATATCGAGAGATAGTGAGCCGAGCAGGAATGACGCGAAGCCCACGTGTGGACAAACACCGGCATGGTCACATACAGCAAAATCACCAACCACAACAGATTAGGAAGGCAGCATTACCCTCCACCACATTTGTCAATAAATGAACAGCATTCAACAACATTACACCTATTACAAACAAGCTTTCCCAAACCCAATGGCTTCAATTCATTGCTATCCAGATCTCTACTGCAACGTAAACCCTGCAATCAGTGGGCGGACTTCAAACACATTGTCTGGGCTTGTCCCAACCTCATGAAGGGGCACGAACCAATTGTTTTAACGCACAGCAGAGGGAGACGAGGCTGCTTATTTCAAGCATGCAGGACCACCTACAGGCGATGAGGCAAGACGAAGATTCCGTTAGGGCGCTGGGACTCCTAGCTGCCATCTAGGGATGAGGATATAATTGCTCCAAAGCTTGCCATTTATATGAAATTGTATCTTTCTTTCTCCCTTGAGAGATTATGACTATCATTTCCAAGTCAAGAGTCACGCTTCAGGTTATAACGCAAAGTCTTCGATAGCCGTCGTTCTGACGTTAGCACATTCTTCATCGTGAGGTATAAAAACATTGGCCCCGAATCTGCATGCTACACTGCAAATGTCGTTGAGAGACGATCGCCTTGCGCCTGGAGAGGGTGAAGAAAACGTTTGTTTGATGTTCTGTGCAAGAAAATTAGTCAATGATATTCTGGAGGCGCTGCGTTAGAGTGCCTCGAGCGTGTAGCGGAGGCAAACGAGCGCATCAAGGCACCTTATACACGAGCGCCATCTGGCAGTTATCTTCGAAAACGAGGACGTTCGCGCCCACGGAGAAAGATGCATGCCTGTCTCGGTGGTGATGAGGTGTAGAACGCAAAGCGACGGGCAGGTGTCGCCACCGTGTCGTCGTAGTAAAGCAGTTGAAAACACCTTTTAGAGCATCGCATTGAAGTTTCAGCGCAGCGCTATCCACACTACAGTCCTTAGAGTTACTTGCGTGTGCCTCTTCTAGTATAAACACAGAATTACAAAACATCGACGAGTTGTTATGGCGCCTCAGATATGCGCAATATTTGATTGATTGATTTGTGGGGTTTAACGTCCCAAAACCACCATATGATTATGAGAGACGCCGTAGTGGAGGGCTCCGGAAATTTTGACCACCTGGGGTTCTTTAACGTGCGCCCATATGCGCAATATTTGCTTTTTAATTGACAACCACAAAACTATCAACGCAGAAACTTGAGCAATATTGGTGGGCGCTGCGGATGGGTTTGGCTGCTTGATGCCATTTGAGGTATCGTTATGGGTAGACAAACAGACAGGTCTACTGTCAGACAGACAGACAGACAGACAGACAGACAGACAGACAGACAGACAGACAGACAGACAGACAGACAGACAGACAGACAGACAGACAGACATACCGAAATATTTCCGCCGAAGATATTGTCTTTAAAATCGTGCATATCCACGGAGTGCTTGTAGATGAGTGGGTGGCTGCATTTGTCAGTCCGTCCGCGCCTCACGTACATTCGTTCTTTTTTCCGTCTCCTGTGCATCTGTCCATTCATGCGTGCATCCGTCCGTTCACGCGTCCATCCGTCCATCCGTGCCTCCGTCCTTCCAGCGCGTCTGTCCATCTATCGGTCCATCTAGTGAAAACTAGAACTATTTGCATGTCGCATATTTTCATTACATATTCACCATGCAGAAGTACCGCTATCCAGTGGACATTTCAATGACTAAACGAAGGTACCATGGCAAGAATAGAGGATTTTCTTTGGCCGCAAATAACACGCGCACACAAAGTAATAAAACACTTGACAGCTGTCTCCGAAACGCTTTTGCGAAGAAGAAAAAATGAAGGTACTAGAGCTGCCACGGGGGAAGATGAAACTGAAACTGTAAGACCTGCCGTGATTCTCTATGTTCATAAGGTCTCCCATAACCTGAAAAAGGTAGCAGGCCGGTATAGGTTACCTGTCGTCTTTTCCGCGCCCGTGAAACTGGCTCAGCTGTGCCCGAGAACTCGTCGGGGAGCGGAGGCGAGCCATTAGGGATGCGGCAAGAAACATGGCACAATGT